TAAACTGTATGCAGAAGTAAGCGTCTTGCTAAAGTATAAGACATGACCTGCAACAGGTCATGTCTCAAATACATATTTAAAGGTGTGAACTCTCGAACTTTTAAGAAAATGGAACAGTGTGGTTTCAAAAGCTATAATGGAACTATAACGTCGAGACTGCTTCCGCTCATCTCATGGTACAGAAGTGCACACAGACTCTTATCAGACCTAATAAGGATAGGATACTTTATCAGCATACAAATGTTTAAATAAGCGTAAATGACTATCTTAAATGATTAATTCTGACAGCCAGCCTCTATAGCCAGAGGAAGAACACCAGCTCTGGCTCCTAGATAAGTGATACGCACTATTTGATTCCCAGCCAACTATTTATTTGATACAAACAAAAATGTGGTCTGTTTAGGCTAAAGTACATTGGCCTGATTACCTGTTTAATGTGAAGGCCATGACCCACTCATTACTCCAATCACCATCAGTATTTATCTAGACACAAAAATAAACCACCAACAAACCAACTGATATCAGGCATTTGGGGACTTGTCCCCTCAAACAATGGTTTCATTGTGACCCCAAATGTGACTTAAGTCAGAGCACAGTCATTACTGTCCTTCAAAGAGGGCTAATGGTGAAAAACATAGACTTTACCTCTAATATCCTACATAAATAACTTTTAAATGTGCTCTTACTATTTTATTGTTTTATATTTATCAATGTGCACACCAGCACACCACACTACAGCTTCTGATTATTCATTTAACAAATAAACATGCACATCAAAACCTTCCGTTTCCTTAAATAGCTCCTTGAATATAACAAATCTGAACGGACACATATAAACATGCTGTGCATGTTGGCGAGAGCATGGCTGACATTAATTAGCAGGATGTGGGAGTGCACGGTAGGTCATGAATCCATACAGGCTGGTGTTGTGCCAAAAAGTAATTTACTGTATATGCCAAAAGTCTTCTGCAAGTATTTAAACTATGGAAAATGAGTTGTTGGCCTATAATTTGTCAAACATATCGTTTGTGAATGATATCAAGTCAATTTGTGCAACAATGAACAACTTCTGGTCACAAGGTAGAAGCTGCAATCATTTTTTAGCAAAGAGACTTTCATATATCCTTTGCTTATCCAGGTAAAAGCACTCATTGAGATTAAAAATGTTTTTTTCAAGAGAGATCGACCAAGAGGGCAACAGAAATTGCAAAAAGTACAACATAACATTTCTATAAAGATATTTCAAGTGGCCAAAAAGGACTGTGTTGCTTGCACTAGAACACTAAGTAGGTACATTAACACGGTCTCTTGCAAAAGAACGTGGATTATTGCAAAAACAGTTATTTCTTTATAACACATATAACCTATTAGTAGTTCCTGTTAACTACAACCTATTTACCAACATGAGCAAAGATATTAGACATTAAAAAAAACACATGGAAACACCGGAAATCACCTTTTGACACAACCCCGGCGGCTGTGTTCGTCACTGTAAACAGAGTAGCCTTAGCCAACCTGGCGTTCTGTCTTGTTCTTCTTCTGTCCTTCAAAACATGCATTATTTGCGGACACATAAAATAACTCTACTTTTCAAATGTAGCGGTAACAAGCACTAAAAAGCTGGACCTAAACACTGGCGCCTGATTCCTTTGTGTGGGCATGAAGAGCAGACAGGAGACGTCAACGCAGCTTAGCGGAGGAGCAAGCTAGCACTGACCTCTCACCTACTTTTACTTTACTGCCCCCCGCGCTGATTTTAGGGTCATGTTAGGGAGAATAACACTGCTGTTGCAACTGTCTCTTCGCTAAAAACATGCTGTGTTTTCGTTGTTGTCTCAAAACTTCCTGGTGTTAGCAGTCCTGCATACCTTTCTGAGGGACTCCTTTAATGCAAAGTGCTCTTGTGTGTAGATTAAGTGGTCGGCTGCAGTCTCTGGGGCACTGGACTTTACTTGTTTAGATGACACTTTCTCAGTCAACGAGCGGGCACCAACACCCAGTGAAGTTAACTTGTAAAAATGACGGCTTCTGACCAGCACGTTTAAACGCAGGGCTCCTTCACGCAGCGCCATCTCTGTTGACAACAATATGTACGTGTGTGCGCATGCGCTGGTAGGAAGTTCTCACTGGGTCAAATATTAACCCAGTGGGAAAGTAAAATATTAGCAGAGCTTGACTTCCCACCATTATTGGGGGGAAATTCTGTCATAAAATATATCGTAAATTGGGTACCCTGGTGTGTAAATAATTACTCTATCACCAGCAAGCATTGAAAGTAGCCATGTAAGTTATCTAACGTTGTTATATTGTTACTATCATCAATGTAATAGCAAGATTTACTATCTTTTTTGGCTGTGGGTTTTGTTTTTAAAGTATTTTGAGCCCAAATGCAATTGATTTTTATTTTCATTATGGATTAATTTTACTAATAATTATGCTGTCTGACAGAAAGCGTGTTAAAGCATGTTGCAGAATAGGAAAGAAATGAAACATATTATGATACTCATTTTATATCCTGGAGGGCTTTATAGCAGAAATAATCTGCAAATTGAAAGCGGCTTTGGAGAAAGTCCTATTTTCCACAGGATTGGTTTTAGATAGACACAACATTTTCTTTTTCTATCAGTGCTGCATCTAGTCTGCTGTGTTCAGTTCAAGTACTTGTATTAATAAAGCCTTAAAACTTTTTGGAGTCTCCCTGAAACTACAGAAAGAAGATTTAAAATAAATTCAATCTACAATGAAATGAGCAAAAAAAAAAAAAAATAAGGAGAAGACTCGCAAACCCGTCGTACTTTAAGGAATAAAATCTCAAATTTGATGTTCACCATCATTATTGGAACAAAATAGCAATGATCACATAAAGACTTGGAGAGAAAAAAACCCCTCTGTATGTATGCAAATGAAGTTATGAAGATTTATCTGTTTCTCTACTTTCTCTACAACCCTTCAGTGAATCACAGAGACAGGCTGAATTATAAATGTGCACATTTAATGACAGTTGCTTCTGTGAATGAAACAACATATGGGCCCATGTGCTCAGACTATATACACCACATGAGAGAGAAGCATTATGTAACACTTGCCAAATACAACTTTTAATTAGTGCATCTTTCCCAAAACAAAAGAAAAATTTAAAAAAAAGTATTAGAAGGCTACAAATCTGGCCCCAAGATGAAGAATTGTTTTACTTGGGAAATCATAAATGTTTTCTTTATTGTGTCCTTCTAGTCATCTCAGTCTGCAAATCCATTTTACAAGGGCTGGGTGAACGTCCTTGGGTACTAATCTGAGATATGAAAAGCTCCTTAGGTCCAGTCTAGCAGATGACACAGCCACCTTTCTCCTTGAAGGGGTTCTTCTCCTCTGATATGCCTTTGACGAGGATGTCCTCCTCCACTAGAGCCTGAATATAGTCCTTGATTTCCTCACAGCATTTAGATGTCTGAAAGCAGCAGACAGAAAGCGTATTTCAGTTTTGAATAGCCTTTGTGATGTAATTAGTTTGACTAAATAAATTGAAGCTGTCTGATATTTACTTTTGGATATAATCAAAAATGCATACTGAGCACACAAATCACCACACTGTGGAGAACTTACCAACCACCTCTCGAGTTTGACTTCAAGTTTAAGCTGGTTTACTTCCATCACAGCCTTGTCCTTATCTGTCAGATCCTCCACATTTATGACCGGCATTTTCTGTCAAAAAAAAGGAAACATTTAACCTTTTTGTTAATGCTTACTTCCACATGATAAATAAATAATCTTAAATAAAATGTTCACAATTCGTAAGACTTAGCAGAAGGGATATGAATGCACTTACGAACGCTTACAGGAAGCAGTCCTTCACCCCTGAAATCCTGCTGAAGAATCCCTCTCCTCTCTCTCAATCTGGGTTATAAAGTAATCAGCATAAACAATTCTAATCCCCTAATCTGATTAAAACAAGGCCCCACTGAATGATCATACCAGCAGCTCAAGTACACAAAGGAAGGGGTGGGCAACTCACACAGGTGTCCATTTGAGCTCCCTTGATGTAAAAAACAAAACAAAACATGGTGATGTATTTTTTGGTTTTTTATAGATTCAATTTGTAACTTTTGTTCTATTTTAACTCTGAGATTTCTTGCAGGCTCATTTGGATATGGGTTAAGGGGTGGCGCTTCATTTATCAGGTTAATTTTGATAAGACGGCTAATCTGTGTTTAGCCTCCACCTGTCAAGGTGGAGACACGTCGTTCTTCTAAACGTGAATGCACGGCAGTTTTCCAGCTAATATCCTTCATAAAGGTAAAACCAAAGCAGTGGGATGGAATTAAGCTGCTGTGTTAAACCAATACAAATGTTAATGTGAGTTTTAACTTAACTTGCAGATAAGGCTGATTTCTCATGGTAGGACATCGTGGAAAGAAGCGCTTTTATTATGAAATAACATGAGCCACAGTACTATTAATGTGACTCTGAGTGGAAGTACGTGTGTGTGTGTGTGTGTGTGTGTGTGTGTGTGTGTGTGTGTGTGTGTGTGTGTGTGTGTGTGTGTGTGGATTCGGATCCGGTCAGACGGGTATTCTGGTGGGGACTTGCCTGTGTGGCTCAGACAAGAAAGATGTGTTAATGTTTCACAAGCGTGTGTGTCCCTAGATACAACGCAATATTGGCTCTGTGGAAATCTTACAAGGATGCTGTGTGTGTTACTGGATTGGTGCACATTCCCATCATCATCATCATCACTAGAACCAGTGGCCTGTGGCAGTGAAAATATCTGACTCTCTCAAGCAGAGCAAGTTCCTCCTCATATTTTATTAAGACTTAGTCACATGATTTAGCGCTCCTCCAAGTAATTCAGAATTTGACGTCATTAATCAACTGCAATAATTTCTTTTCTTTGGCGCGCTGACTCAGTACATGCCCGTCCCTCTTCCCCGTGCTATAAAACAAGGTCTGAGTGGGGATGGTAGACAGAGCGGAAAAGTCTGGATCTCGACCAAAACTTTGCACAATGGAGCTTTGCGCATTTGCTCTGTTTACAATAATTTCCTCGTTTTACTGCGTTTTGGCGCTGCCACCTAAAGGTAACTCCACATCATGTTTTGTTTTTTAATTACTTCTTCGCGCTTCTTCAATGTTTTCATCAACTTTTTTAAAACAGCAGTTCTGAGCTTGTTGGTTATCACATGACCTCGGGCGTATTACAGATCCAGTTTGGCGCGTGTTGTTAAGCACTGCTTAAACTTTCTTTTCCGTGTCCTTGCAACGGTCCTCGGGTATTTCAATAAAAATCTGCTTGGTGCTTTTCAGGCGTGTGCCTTCTTCAAGTGGACGAGGGACCGTGCAGAGGCAATATCCAGCGGTATTACTACAACACCATCACCCAGAGGTGCGAGGATTTCGAATATGGAGGCTGCCAAGGGAATGCCAATAACTTCAAGAGTTATCAGGAGTGCCACAAGACATGCTACAAAATTCCCAGTAAGTAGCCTGACCCGTGAGTTATTAGAGGTGGGAGTCAGACAACACGTGACATAATATTATCACAATACTTCCCTAAACATGTGATATTATTGCGATTTTTACGATATTGTCATATGCTGAGTATTGCATTAACATATATTGCTGTTTACTCACATTTCCAACAGCCATCTATGTCCTCAAAATGAAACTTTGTCAAAATCAGTTTTGTCCAATAAGATAAAGTTATCTCACTTCACTTTTTTTTTTTTACTTCTAAAACCTAAAGGATAAAGCCAAAGTCAGTGTAATATATCAGTTTGTCATTGAATGAGGTCAAATTGGGAATTACAGTGGGAGAAATAATGTTAGTAAAGTATGTCAAGTTTGCTTAGAAAGAAATGAACAGACTCTGTTCATTTCAACGGAGAGTGAGACAGAATATCAATCAAAACTCCAGAAATAACACATTACACAAAAGGTATAAACTGATTTGCATGTCACTGAGTGAAATAAGTATTTAATTCCCTACAAACCAGCCAAAATGTGTGCTGGATGGGTTTCCAGTTGAGCTGATTTAATGCAGGTTTGTAACGTTAAAGTCAACTAACATTATCTCAGAATGGGGATGAATGAAGTGAGCCTACTTGTTCAGATTATTTGAATTTATTTACTTACATATCTATATACCTATATACATATCTATATACATGGTATTCCTGTATCGATATGATACATGGATCATTAGGGATGAAATTCTGGGCCAGTACGCATGTTTTAAGTAACAATTTAGCTGATCTTTAGCTTTTGATTTTCCTACTTAGCCTGCCTTCTCTTCCAGGAGAAAAAATATTGTCATTAAACATGAAATTATTTATGTGATTCTAAATATTTTCAGCTCTTCTTTACACCATCTTTGAACATTTAGCCAGCCCACAACACATAAGTATTGGGCATTGACACAGATAAATTACATTTTCTTTCAGTATCAGCTGACATTCGGCAGATACATCAGTGATGGTGACCTTAGGCATGTCCATTTTATTTCATTTTTAGGAAACTAGCCAGTGCCTCTCTGGTTGTTAACCTGTTCATATGAATTAATTAGTGTTGTTTCACCAGATCTCACTGTTAAATGTTGATTTTTTTCCCATTCTTCTCCACAGAGGTTCCCCCAATCTGCAGATTTCCTAAAGAAGAGGGACCTTGCCGGGGTCTCATCTCCCGCTACTTCTTCAACATGACCACCATGCAGTGTGAGCCATTTAATTACGGTGGCTGCCAGGGGAATTCCAACCGCTTCCTTAATCTAGCCTCTTGCATGGAGTACTGCAGTCCAAAAAAAGGTGAGCAGATTACCCCCCTGAGTCATCCCTGTGAGGATACACAATAGACAAAGTCATTGCATTCACAAGGAAATGATTAAACAATAACTGGCGAGCTCTTCCTTGTGTTGTGTTCCTTGTGTTACAGCAATCCCCGTGCTCTGCCGGGATCCTCTGGACAAAGGGAAGTGTTCAGCCACCATACCTCGCTATTACTATAACACAGCCACCAAGACGTGTGAGGAGTTTGTCTACTCAGGCTGCGGTGGGAGCAACAACAACTTTGTCTCGCGGCAAGCCTGCATGGACGTGTGCGCAAAAGGTGTGCAAACCTGAGCCGGGCGGGAAGGGTGCATGGGCGTATGTTTCACAGCTCATTGTGAAGTCTTTATCTGAAGATGATAATTTCAGGAGAATTTTCTGACTGCTTAATTCAATAATGGCAGCATTTGAATTGCCACTCAGACCCACTTAGTGGATGGAAATAGGAGAAAATTCAGAAAGTCTGGGGGGAATTGGAAAGAGACCAAATTATGCTCAGTTGATTTATTGTCAGGCATAAAAATGCTTGGTATCTTGAAAAATTAAAACTACTGCTTTGACTCAGGCTGGATGATGCTTTCCAAAGCATTCATCCACTGCTGCCAATCGCTGTGCTATGATCTGGAGGAAACCAAGCAAAATCTGTTCCTAGAAAGCCAGTTTGGTTAATTGTGAGACTAAAAAGTGCACAATTGTTAGTATTATATGTTATGCTAATCAGCTGTTATGCTTTTTTTTTTGCTTTTTGTTTTTGTTCCAGGATGGAAAAAGCATCCAGGCCAAGGAAAAATTCTGCGAATGAGAAAAAATAGAAAACCCATCACTTCCTTGCAGGCGTAAATGTTTGACACTTGTACTAAGGAATTCGCTCTTGGAGAATTTCCACATGGAAGCTAATGTGTGTTTGTTTATGCTGAAATATCGACCAGGCTGCCTATGCCCTTGTGTGACAAATTTTGACCACATTTGTAATGTCATTAGAGCATTTTTCTGAATTTTTTATTGACTGTATGCTGTCAGTAAAGTTGGATGGATTGCTGCTGCTGATGCTGTTGATTCATGTCCAACATTCCTGATTATGTATTTTAATACCGTGTGAATGTAATGTATGCTTTTCTTTTGTTCAGTTACACTTTTTTACATGAAATATCCTGAATTTGTTCAGGAATTCTGCCTTTTCTGTATTTTGATAACACTGTGTTAAGCAAATCACTGTACTGTGCGGTATTTTCATAAAAGTAAAAACTAAAATTATGCGGATTTCGTCTTCTTCAGCCATTACCATGCACATAAACCCACAGAGTGTCTGCTTTTACCCTAAAAACTTGGCTGGTTTCTTCACTTTCCCTCAGTCACTTGCACTTTATCTCCAGGCTGCTCTTCCGTTCCTTACTAATGTTGCTGTCTTCCCTCCTTATCTGGTAATACTTTTCAAGGCGCTCGAGCCTATCTCATTCGTTTCAGCGCAGCCTTGAATCGGGAAGGAAGCAATCATGGGGCAGGGAAACACTGCTGTGGCAGGTTCATTAGAACAGCACTGCATATTTAGAGGAGAGCAAGCTGCAGGTTTACAAGACATGAGTCATGAGCGTTCAGAAATATTGTCTGCAAATGTTTTAGCAATTATAATGTAATTATAGTGGAATACACACAATAACACGCCCCATAGCAGAAAGCATCCATGCAGGAAAATGAATGCACATGTATATTTTCCTCCCAACCTCAGTTATTAAAAAAGAGTTTTAACAATTGTGTTTTGGTCAGTAGTTTTTCAGATAATATACTCTCTTTATCGTGAAGATAAATCACAATGGTCTATAATGTCATTAAGGAAAGCAGGCTGTTAGTATGAACATCCTGACTGCCTTAAATCTGTGCTCTGCTCCATCTCTTGTAATACAATAAGAAAGTGCTGTGTGATTCTTCAGACAATAAATATTTATTGAAGATATAAATGGAAACTACTCATCCATCTGGCTCAAATATAAATAGTAATAAAAGGGAATGCATTTGGCTCGGGATATTGCTTTGAGTACCAAAGCTAAATCATCTATTGAAAGTATGCAAGGGAGCAGTCATCCTAACAGTATGCAGCCGTTAAAAAGCCACACTGAATCATCACTGCTGATCATTATGAAACCGGTGGGGGAATTGCTATTGATAATATTTCAACTTCCTGCTCTTTAGGATAAAAATTTATGGATACAAAATTTCAGGAAAGACAGAAAATTTGATCCTAAGGGGCTATATACATATATTAAAGGCATTTGTATGAGGCCTATATATATATATGGAACATGTTTACCTTCTGACTGTTAAATCATAATTGCACCTTGCAGCAGCATATTCTTCTGTGGTGCCTTTAAATCAACAAATGATGTGACAAATCTTTGAAACGGCAAAACAAGAAGAAAAATGGACTCAGTTATGAACTTTAAATCACAACAAAGCTCAGTCTACGACTATTAGCAAGTGTCAGTATCACACTGATTGCTGATTTTGTGCAGTTCAGGTGAACTGAGATGAATTGATCATGCTCGGTTATTTCATTAGCTGCAGTACATTAGATAATGTAAGTAATTTTGCTCCTCATTCTCAATAGTGATTAATGAATACTTACATTGAAACATGATCATCATTTAAAAGTGCATCAATTCAATATAGAAGGCTTCTTTTCACCATGTGTCAAACAGCAATGTTGCTCTGTGCCAAGATGCCTGAGTGTACTGGAGGTGTAGGTGAACGCCAAGGGGAGAAGCTTCTCAGACGCCACCTGGTGGCTGATTCACAAATCTAAGAAGAACCAAATACTTAGTATAAATATACTTAATACTACTATATTACTCTATTTACTTCTACTAAATGAGCAAATCAATATTTAATGAACAATGTGAAAGCCACTGGGTATATCTTGGTGCTTTAATCTAAGCTTTAAACTTTAGGTACAACAGTAGCTATCCGTATATTGGAGGAACCCGTGCCAAGCATCTTAGAGTGTTGACTCAGCAGCATTTATTCTTTTAGAGCCTGTTTCTGTAAGTGCATCAAGTTTCTCGGGGTGGGGGGAAGCTTTATGGTTTATAAATGTTTTATAAATTTCTTTTTGGGCACCAAACCAAATCATTTTGTGTTCTAGGAAGTCTGACACTGGTGGATGGTGAAGCAATGTAATTTGACAAGCACGGCCTCTCAAAATGGGAACACTGTCCTAAGCTGATTAATCTTGTCCACCGTGCAAGTGTTCCCAAACTCCGAAGAGGTAATCCATTATAGCTATTTGTGATATTATCAACAAACAAAACAGCCTTCTCTGTGGATTTTTTTTGGAACTTTGTTGTTGCTCATGCGAACTCCCGAGCTAACATAACAGGATGTGAGCACAGCTCTTGATACTGAATAGAAAAAGGCATCAGTGGATGTTATTTTTCCTTTTTCCGTAACTTAAGTAGTTAGCCTTTGTGATGTGGGCCTTCAATAGGGAAACAGTATCACATCACAATTAGCATATATCAACTTAAATCTGTTCACATTTTTTTATTTACGACCAAATCACACCAACATTCACCTCAAGGTGCTTTATATTGTTAGGAAAAAACCCTCCAATGATACAAAGAAAACCCCAAAAGTTCAACGACAGCCTTATTAGCATGCCCTTGGTGACAGTGGGAAGGAAAAACTCCTTTTAACAGGAAGTCATCTGTCACAACCATTTAAAGTTGAAGTCACCTTGATAAGATTGCTGCAAAGAGTTGCAACAAGTCTAAATTTGTATTAGTTTTGCGTTGTCCTTTTCTGACTTACCTCATGACCTCTTGGAAATATCCTCAAAGCCTTTGTTGAGGAGCCCTAACTTCCAGTAGCGCAAGTGTGTTATTATGTTTGGAACCGTGACTACAGGAGTAATGTACGTCACACGCGTTTTCTATTTTAAGAGTCGCCATTTCTTTTGCTGTCACATCACAGAGTTGGTCTGTTTCAAGCGTAGACCAAACATGCCAGCTGCCCTCTGTCTCCCGACATGTCATCAGAGTTTCCCCGGCATTCATCACCGTCTGCTGCATAAAGTGAGCCGTCTCTGTCCCTCTCCCCTCACATACTGAAGATTGATGTGTCTGTTGAGGAGAATCTGGACTGTTCTTCAAGGTCCATCTGGCTTCCAAACACATGTATCTGTTGTACAATTAAACAAGTCAGGCAACTCCTTGTGCTTCTGACATGTTTTGGAAGATTTTGAGGTACAAATTCTGAATCAATTCCCAGAGAAAATGCCAACAGAAATAGACGGAAAAGAGCTGTGTGTGCAGTGATCTGCACACCTCACTACTCCTGTTCATCGTGCTGTGACTTGGGTAGTGGTGCGGTAATTAGTTTTTGAGGTGAATATTAACTTCTACAGTTTCCATGACAGATTTTAGTTTTAGTAGTAACTGTAAGAGTTAATCATTGTTTAATAGACTTTAAGCATGCCCATCATCCACAGGTCCTTGCAGTAACATCTTCCTCTTGTTGTTTGAGAATTGCATCTCTTTTGCAGCAGATGACTCACAGCTGTGACTAAATCATTTTCTTCCACCTACCTGCAAATGTGCCACACTCCTTTTTTATTAAGAAAGATTAAAAATGATTTGAGCATAACGAACAAATAGAGAGGATGAAGTATTAAAATCGAATAAATAAAAATTACGATTTCAACCTGTGAAGGAGCCTTTCTTTTTCCCCTTTTCCTTTTGTGTTTCAATTATCAGCTTCCCTGAGGTCAAAGACTTTATATTAAGCCAGTGTTCAGCAGTTCTCTGAAGACAAGCCGACTCAACACATCGGCACAGCTGAATTTGCTCCCTGATAATGATATTTTTTACTTTATATATATATATATGTGTGTATTGCTTATGCTCACCACTTTGAGGGCTGAACAGCTGCAAAACCTACAAATAAGCTGTGAAGTGAAGATCTGAGAAAATGGATGCAATTATGACATATTCATAGAAAAAGTGCAGGCTAAAGAGCATAGTCATCAATCAATAATTATGAACACTGGGAAGTAAAACTATTTGGATGGTAACAAAATAAACTAGCTTATAAAATTGCAGTACAGATTTATGTTATTATCTCCCACTAGTTCATCACTAAATGCAGCGTGTTAGTGTTGTGAATTTTTCACAGCACACATTTTGACTTTTCACAACAGGAAAAGCAAAAGCATTACTAACAGCATTAATGATGCTTCTGTTCTGCTCGTGTACCTTGGTAAAACCGTGAAATTTGAAATATTAAAAGCACATACACACACACACAAACACACACACACACACACACACACACAATCTGTTATCTGTCAGACATTTGTGAGAGATCTGGTAACTCAGGTGTGCGACGAAAAGAAGGATGCTGAGGTAAGTAGAGGTTCAGTAAGACCGTGGCAATAAGAAGAAGCAAACTGGTATACATGTGAAAAGCTAAATAGAAGCTAGCTGTAGATGGCAAACACATAACAAATAAGGCAGATGGCAAGGTTGGGAAGCAGCAGCTGAAATGGACTGGATGAGCTGATGAAGAGAACAAGTGAGTGGACTCCTATATACAGTGAGTAGGGGGAGACCGGCGATAATAGCAACACATTCGGTTCCTCATAACAAAAACAAGCTAAAGTGATAGCAGTTATTCTGCACACACTCATTAGGATTCACTCTGTGACTGTGGAAGAAGTGCAGAGTAACGAGGACAAAACTGATTTCGACATAAAGAAGTCACTTTTTGGATGTTGACTATTTTCTTCTGCAATCTAAAGTTTAGATGACTGTGAATTTTGAAGTTATATCAGCTTTACCCCCTAGACTATCTGTTAAAGCTATACATAAACAACCCATGCTAATATAGGTCCTGCTAGCTAGAATACAAGATTGTAACATGGGGCATTTCCCTGCAAATAGTAACAGTTAGAATCTGGTCTTTAAGTGATGACATATGAACCCTGCTTCCGGGTCCAAACTCTGCGTTTATTAAGGTTGTTGTGTATCTGTTAATGCTTTGTATCTTGTTCTATTTAACCTGAACAAGCCCCTAAAAAAAGTCAGTCATCAATGTTGCCTCCCTTGGTTTTTATTACCAAAAGCTCAGTTTTTAACAACAGCCCAGCCCATGCTGGTAAGTTTACCATTTAGTTTACCTGCCATGCGATTGCATTTGTCCCTAAACATTGGGAACCCTTGCATTAACTTTTATCGAGTGGAAAAAAATCAGCGTTCATCCTCCAGCTTCACTACATTTATATTATGCTAACATAGCTGTGTCGCTAGTGAGCACATAGCAAATCATTATATACCAGCTAGTGCGACTTCAGTAACCCTACAAAAGTCACTGTTGTTTAGTTTTCTGTCTTCATTTATGTGATAAATAGCAGTGATAGCAGAGCTGTACATTTTTTCTTTCAGAAATGGTTTTGTAAATGGTATGTTATGTTTAGGTGGAAACTAGCGAGCTAACTCCCTGCTAACTTCTAACTCCGGTAAACCATCATGGATGCCTGGATGTCAAACTTAATTGTTACACCTGGTAGAACAGTCACACTGATCATTTTATTAAAGATGAAAGAATTTAGAGAGTTTTTAACTCTCAGTGATGCCGCAGTGTTCGTTTGACTTTGAGACCTGAAGCAGAGTTTGGACCCGGAAATGGCTAATGATGTCAGGCTTAAAGACCAGATTGCAGGCATCTTATTTCTCTATCTTATTGCCATAAAGGTAACTCTAAAACTCTGACTTCTTGCATTAAGATGAATATTAAAGCCTTGTCCTTGGTAGTGAAAATATATTAGTTGTAGTATTAGTGCACAAAAAATGGTGCTTTTCTCAAAAGATGAGTAGTGTAACTCGAGTAGTCTTATGAAGTAAACTGTAAAAAAAAAAAAAAAAAGGTTGCGCCGGGTCTCACCAGCTAGTTTTGTGATTTAAATACAATGATTACATTCTGAAAGTATAGTTAGCACTCAGGGAAAAGACATCATTGCGCAGCCTATGGGGAGAGCACAGCGAATGAAAGTCTGTCCTTGATGCTGAACCTGTGGCAAAGGTGGTACTGAGGGATAGGTGCAGGATTTTCTACTTAATGCAGTACTCACACATTGATGTGAATGCTGAGATATTTGTCACCCTACGTGCACCAAGTAACGCCTGCATAAAACCATTCAGATGCAGGAAAAAATGCTCAACCTCTAAACATCCGAAACCACTATGTGAATTTGGTAGATCAAATGAATACATTAAATTAAATGAAGCTTTAAAAAAGAGAGCACATCATGAATGGAAGTCTGATATCCGTTGTCTTAATGTTTTAGCTTTTTGCCAGCAATGTCAGGTGGATGAGTGATATATTTTGCTTTTAGTTGCTTAGTGCCCAAGTATGCTCACAAGAGTGCTGCTTACTGTTTGGTGCTGGGAATTTAGTGTGCAGAAAACAGTATCCTGCTCTCACAGCAGACAAGCTTCTTTAGTGTGAACCTGGACTGTCACATAGGAATATTGATTTGATTAAAATCTTATGTAAAAACAAATAATGACTGTATTTATTCAGGGTCATCTTAGGTTTAAGCACAGATAGACACAAAAGTCATTATGTCATCAAGAAACAACCCTTGAAGAGGCTTTGGTAGTGTATAATTTTATTGATATTTTATTTTGTGATTCACAGCTAGCTGGAAGCTGGATTAAAACCAACATATTTATAGATTTAATAAAGTGTCTCCATAGTGTAGTCCTGTACATAGGGCGGTCACAAAGGGCATCTGGTATACAAATCAGCCATATCAGGAATATGCAGAGCTACCTGCAGTACCTGAAAGTTGCCTTTATTTCTTTATTAATTCCAGTGAAAAACTAAGTACACCCTTACCCTTGCCAGGTGCCACTAATCAATCCAGTTGATTACATGATCATCAATAAGTGAGGCCCTCTGTAAAAGCACAAGCACTACAGTCTTCCCGGGAGTCAAGATCCCACTAAATTCAGTGTGAGGCCATCTGCGTGACAACTAAAGTTTGTTTGAAACTGGGTCATGCAACAGGACAATGATCCCAAGCACAGCAGCAAAACAACTGAAAAAAAATGGCCCAATCAAAGTCCAGACCTCAACCCAACTGAAATGCTGAGGCAAGACCTTAAGATAGCTGTGCATAAATCAAGCAACACTGTAAAGACAAGCGGGACAGATTTCCTCCACAATGATGTGAGACTGATGAAATCCTACAGAAAAGAATCACTTTATGTTATTGCTGCTAAAGTAGGTTCTAAAAACGATTGAATCGTGGCGTGTACTGTCCTTTACACTTAACTGTATATGAAAGAAAGGGACTCTAACACACGCATCTACTTTTCTTCTATTGTGTGTAATTATTCCTTGCAGTCTTTAACTTGCAACGCTGATGAACATTCAGTTTCCAATGCGTCGAAGACAAAAAATTATTGCATTTGTTCATGGTGGGATGGGATGCGGTGGCGTCACGTTAAATGCAGCACACAGATGTCGCCAACACTGGCGTCCAAACTTGTATGTTCTTTGGTGTGGCACCATTATCCTCTAGGTTTACATCACAGTGGATTCCATGAAACGGGCTTCACTCCAGCTTCGTTTTCATCATCCGTCCTCCAGCGTCCATCATCACCACAGCTGACCATAATGAGGGATTCTCTGAAGAGGGCTTGCTTTTTCATGGAAGTGTCCTCTAGCCGCAGCACCATCAGCCAGCACGACTTCAAATGCTACCAGGGAACGAGGGTATTCTGCCAGGAGGGATTTCTTGTATAACTATGGCGTTGTACATATGGAATGACATTTATCTAGGGGTGGCCAGAGGAGACAGTCATTTGAAATAGAGAGATGAAGAAAAAAACGATAGCCTTCTTTCTTTTTCTATTTAGAGATTTTCCTTTGTGTTTTTTTCCCCATGTAGGATGATTTAAAGTTAATCTGATGTATGCAGGTGTGCATATGTGCATGTAAAAATGTAGCTGACAATGCAACGTGTTTTTTTTTCCAGCGTTGGAGGATTACAAACATTCCCAAGTAGATTGTGTTTGTCCACTCCTCTCTTTCTCCCGAGTGGATGTTCTGCCATTACTGCTGGTTTGAAGGCAGCGCCGCTCACTTGCAGATTGCATGGCTTTAGCGATGACAGGCTGATCATGTCTGACACTGTCGTAATGTGTTATAAATATGCAGCTGCATGTTCATCACCGCTTACTGTTTGCGGTTGTCTGTGTGCATGTTGGCGAGATGAAGAGAGATGAATGTCAAATCTGCGATGACAGCAATTGCACGCAAACATCTGTTTGTGCTTGTAATTAAGTGCAAGGAGAAAGTTGTGGTTCAACAAAACGAAAATGAGAAGACACTGGTTTTTTCAAGCACTTTCGTTACGCTGGTTCCACAGGTGTTTCTCTGCTTTATACACCGGTGGTGATTTAAAAGCCAAGCCAGGCTACCAAACACCAAGCACTGTGTCTTAAATAGGGAAATCATTTGCTAGGTCAGTACTTTATGCTCACAGTGATTTGCATTTTCTTTTTTTAATTTGCCTCAGATATATTCCTTTAAAAATACAACAAAACAAAAAAAACCCTGATGAATAACAGACGGGATAAATAGAATACATACATGGCAGTCGGATAATGGACTCAATCCACCAATAACTCATCAGCCGTCCTGGGGAAAATCAGCTTGACGTGAAGAGTGTATTCTAATTCCCATGCTGATTGTTATTACCGTGATCTCGGTGACTGCAGAATGGAAGCCTTCTCTGTCATTAAAGATGATCACACTGTTAACAGTAAGTTGTGTGGTGGCGTTTCCATCCTGCCTGGATTGTGATGACATTATTTTTAAGGGTTCACCACAGATTCCAAGTCTGAGTGAACAACAAAGATCCTTTTTTAGAGGTCACCTATTCAGTCTCTTTAATACTTTACTAGTCTTTACTCTCTCTCTTGCTCTAGTGTAGTAGTCTCATTACTGCTGCACTATTGTGCGTGTAGTAAAGAGATGCGTGCAGAGCGTGGGCTTGGGTTTTGTTTGAACATTGGGGGAGGTCTGGTAGTCCTACAGGAATCACCAAACACTTAGTTTCCTGCTTTCTGGTGAATCTATATGCACCAGTTTTGCCCTTGGTATCTATTTAAAGTGAAACTTATTATGTTTCAGGAACCAGGTAATAAATAAATGATGCTATAATGCTTCTTGGTATTCTGCACTACTTTCAATATCCATCTCTAGATCGACTTTTCTTATCATCCACGCTACCTCGGCAGGCACACAGGCACGATTTATCCTTTTGTCCCTATTGTAGGATCTTTACCTTACAATACAAAGCGCCCTGAGTTGACTGTTGCCTGGATTTGGCGCTATATAAATCCAATTAAAGTGAACTGAATTGAACTGAATTGGTTGTGTTGACGTAAATAACCTTTCCCCACCTGTTCGCATCAGTGACAAATGCTACTTTTTTGATTGTGTGACTTACTGCACATTGGAAACATAAAAAAGTTTTGGGTTGTCTTGTTTTTTTATTCATATCTGTCTGTAAAAAGATACCTCTATGGTCCAGTGCCCCTAATGTACCCTTTGAATTGATTTTCCAGTGAAATCAGCAGCAAAGCTTAACATAATGAATAGCATGTATAAAAAAAGAATTACACATTTTAGTTTAAAAAAGGATGTAAATGAGACAAAATCGAAATTTAAAGCATGAATGTATTCCCGATGACGTGTCTGGAAGGGCTCCTAAGTAGATATATGAAACGATGTATCCCCCTTCACTGTATATTACACGATCTGTCACAAATGGCATGATGGTTGGTCACATATCATGCCACGAGTACCTATTATAAGAGATTTGTGACAGAAAAAAGTATATTGACAGCTCAATACTGTCTTTATGAGGTTAGATTACAGAGTTAAAAGGGGGAGCAGAGAAAATGCTATAACTCCAACAAGGCGTTTCAACTGCAACTGCCACAGACTGGACGAGTTCTGGCATATCGCCATCATTTTTCTTTATAGTGTCTGTTTCTTTCGATTTGAGTGTCCAGAGGAGTGTCCGAGCCCGGCGCACACACGCTGTGCAGAGGCTTCTCCTGTGTCTTTAACGCAGAGACGGAGGTAAGCAGGCGAGGAGGAGCTCCCACCACACGCTCGTCCGCGTAAGCGGGAGGCTGTTAGACGCACTTGGATTACCGGGCAGTCAACTGTCACCGCATCAGACCGGCGTCCTGCTCCACACTCCTCTCCCGCGCGCACCGCAGATCATTAATTCTTCTCATAATTAAAAGGTAGACATGTGGGGAAAGCTGTAGAAGCATTTGATTGATTTTATAATGGCTTTTATATCCGTGGATCTGAAAAAAAAAAGTTTTTATTGGCGCTGCGTTAAATAGGAGCGCAAAAAGCTGGGAGTCATTCTCGGTGGAAGGACTTCTCTGAGAAAGACGTTTGTGATTCTCCTCAGCATCTTATTGTGTCACTCGGGCTGCAGCCTCAAGTCAGTTGAAGTGAGGTAAGTCACGGACAGATTTTTTTCTTCTATAACTTTTTTGTTTTTCTCAACTTGTTCTCCAAAAAAGGTTGGTGAGGATAATAGAGGATGGTGCTTGGGTTTAGTCACTCAGTTTACCCGCGGGGTTTGGGGACTAATTTAAGCCCCATTTTAATTGTACTGATGAGGAATCTTTGCTTGGCGGTTTATGTCATATGAACTGGATTTGCATTGCGTGCTCCTAAGGTTAATGTTATAAATGCATTTTTAGCATATTGGCTGTGGGGGAAATGTTTACATCTTAATAATAATAATAAATAAATAAATAAATAAAAAGATTAGATGAGAATAATTTTAATGAGTGAATAAATAAAAATATTGCAAAATGTTTTGCGCACTTGCTCCTTTCTCTATTAAACGGTTGAAAAATTCAAGAAAAGAGAGAAAAGAGTCTTTATCAGCTATGATAGCCTCTTGTAAGGATTTCATGCATTTCCCATGAAGAAAAGCCTGGGCTTCCCCAGCTTAAATCCTAAATTAATATGCCACAAAAATACCACAACAAACTTCTTCAGATTGTACGCTCTCTGGTGACTCATTGGAAATATGTAAATGGATTTTCATTGCTTAACTACAAACTGCGTACATAAGGCAGCTCCTCCCGACGTGTCTTCCTATTTGCAGCCAGATATATGTGACGAAGTGTTTTGCAGACGGATCTTTTTACGTCAGACACGCACTTTTATACATCCACACTCACGCGACACCGCCGTGTATCCATACAGGATCCCGCTTCTCTTCAGAGAAATTAACTGAGCCAAAATGGTGAGGCATCTGGTACGTTCCCCACAGCAGCACAATGAACCCACTTGTGAATATACACTGTAACGAGCATTAAAAAGTAACACTTATCCGAAGAGGAAATAAGAAACACTTGGTGCATTAACCGCACCAGGAGACCACAGTGTCTATATTTTTACTTTCAGACAGGACTGCTGACTGTGAGTTATATTTTCATGAAGCAATTCCACCCAAGGCTTCCTTCTTCTCATCTGTCCTCCTGTGAAAATGTTACACGCTACTAAAACCCCAAAAACATTTCCCTTCATATTGATTATATTAGCACATTCATGAAGGGGGCAAAATAGGCATTCCTTCACGGACCCAACAGGCCACAAGTCCCGTTCAAAAATGAAGTCGAAGTCGCTACTGAACGCTTCCAACAGTGGCAGCAAAAGCGCAGAAACTCAAGTGGCTGTGTGAGGATGTCTGCAGTTATATTGAGAGTCTTCTTCTGGGGATTCCTTTCTGTTTTCGTAACCGTGATTGAAGAAAAAGCGTGGGTTTTTATTAGAGGCGATGCTGAGTGGCTTCAATGAGCTGATGTGTGAGTTTCTCAGCATATACAACTATGACACACACACGCACACACACGCACACTGCGCAGTACAGAGGAAGACAAGAATAGCAACAAACACAGTGTCAGGCTGTCAAAGAGAGAGAGAGAGACGGCCCGAATGAGAGAGACAGCAGTGAAGAGATACGTGCAGACAGGCAGGCTGAGATATGTGGTGCCCTGCAGTGAATTAGGCTGGGTTGGAAATGTGTCTGGCTTCTTTCTGAGCAACTGAGATAAGTTCTTTATTCATCATTCCGCACGCTGCCTGTCTGTCCCGTCTATCTGTCCTGTCTGTGTGGTTGGAGACAGACAGGCAGGCAAGCAAGCGCCAAATTTGCTTGTTTGTGCGCCCCCGTTTGAAGGGACTGAAGTAAAAGGTCTGGAAGCAAGAGCGAGGTGCTGTGCATGAAAGTATGAAAACGCGAGGATGGCCTTTGGAAGGACTGTGGATTCAGTGCTTTATTTGAGTGATCATAAACTTTTTTTTTGGCTACAGGTTTGTAAAGATTTACACCTAAACGTAAACGGATGGATGCATGGAGACTGTGCACATTTTTCAGTTTTTCTGCTTTTGAGGGGAAAACAACGAGTAGCTGTGCTTTCTCTCTCACCTGTTGGTACTTATTAATGTTAATCAACCTAATGCTAACCAAATGAAATTCAGTCACCTTGTCTCCCCATCTGAGCATCAATAGACTTGATTGTGAACAGCCAAACACTCAGTTAGGGCTCAGAGTGAGTTAAAATGATTCTAGTCCAGAGCTGTTAGGATGAATCTCCCTCCTCCGCTGCCGTCCCTGTGACCCCGTGCTTCAACCAGTTGGAAGTTGTGGACAATTTTGCTGTCATGCAATTAACTACTTAATCAGGTGATGCTCAGAGAAACTGCATAATTGGGATGAAGTGTCACCCATTACAATTTAGACTTCCCATCAAAGTCGATCCAAGGGTGTGGTTTAACCTTTTAATGACACAAGTGTAACTTGTGTGTAATGCTGCTGGGGTTTCATTTTTCAGCACATGGCTGGCTCTGTGCAAAATGATTAAGGCATTTGAGGTACTAAAGTTGACTTAGGTGAACCATTGGCAAAGCTGGACGGGTTGTGTGATGTGATTAAAGTTAAGTGTCACAATATGTGCTGCACAGCTGCAGCTCTTCCCATTTTTCATGTTGCTCCACACTCAGCTCTCTGTATGAGTCTTATATGAACTTTATTCAGGCAAATGTTGTTGATCTGCTGTTGTAAAATTTAATTTTGCAGTCATCTGTTTCAGTTATCTCCACCCCATTAAGCTGTTTATAAGTCCAGGTGGCTGGATCAGTAGTTTTAGCATAACAAAAGCTCAGAGCATTTGCATGCATGTGGTTTGAGAATGAACTCAGTGAAATTCCAAGAAAAGTGATGGGCATGAGAGAGGAAAAGGTTTATGCTTCAGCTCGGTTGTTGACGAAATATGAACCATGCAATAGTGTCGCTTCTACAGCACTTCGTGTGCTGAACAGCTGAAGTAGAATCAATAGGTGGTGCTAGAATAGAGCAAATAGCTGATGACTTAGTAAACAGAGGTTTGTACATGGCAAGTGTAGTGTGTGTGTGTGTATTTGTGACAAAGACAGATACATGGTTATATCCACTTATGGAGGCTTTTGTGTCTTCTCTGGCCAGTGATGTGTTCTGCTCCTATAACACCTGAATTCAATTTGCAGCACTGCCACTCAAGACTACAAGACTACAGCTGGATGGCTGGTGTCAAATGTGCTCCAGTATTACCTAAACCGATGGACTGTCCCTTAACTGAAATCATAAAAGTATGTTTAGCAAAGCCAAAGGGTTTGCAGTTCACACACACACACACACACACACACACACACACACACACACACACACACACACACACACACACACACACACACACACATATATATAACATAAAATTTAACTTGCAGACAGCTCTTAAATGGTAAGGTAGCTCATTATCAAATAGCTGTTAGCTGGTGCTAATGACTGGTTAA